GGCGGGCAGCGGCGGCAATCGCCGTTGCCAGAGCCGCGACGGAGACGGCGGAATGAAGGCGGGCATTCTCCAAGCGCGCTCTGTCTCTCTTCCTCACGGCGGATCCGGCGCCGACGATTAATTCCCGGTGGTGAAACCATTTCCCGATCGACCCGGCCCTCCGCGCGTGAACCACGCCCGCGAGCTTTTCCGTCTGGTGATAGAAAGGACGCAAACAGCGAAAATTTGATGGGCTTTTCACAAATTGGTGTTGATTTGGGCCGAGGAAAGTGGTGTCAAAGGCCCGTGTTACACACCAAATTTTCTCCGACTACCAATTAAATTTCGCTCGTACAACAAAATATTTGACGTGTTTATATGATAAATATATAATTGAATAGAACAAAATAAAAACATGGTATTCTTAAATAAGCCAATAAATTGTCTGAGATTTGATAGAATACCAACTCAATCCTTCCTCATAGTATCAAGTTTAGCGTATATAGCACTTGTAGCGATCGAGAGACTTGCACTGGAAAGGGATAAGAGAGAGAAGAGAGCTTACGAGCTGCGGCGGCGGCGGCGGCGGAGGAGGAAGAAGGGGGGAAGTGTCGGCGGAGGCAGTAGGAGAACTAGGGTTTTGGTGGAGAAGAAGAGAGAGCTTAGTATTATTGTTATTATTAGTAGGTTTGTGAGACAAAGCTCTGGAGATCTCAGAGGCGGAAATGCTCCAGGACCTGCACAGAAACTCCATCGGCACTCTCGGAGTTTCCGGCTGAGGGATCGGAGAAAACGCCGAAGATTCCGACGCCGGAGAAGCGATGCTTCTTCTCGCTATTTGCTCTTCGCCTTCTGTTTCTTCTTCCTCTTCTGATACTTCGTACGGAATCGGACCTAACAGCGTACGGCTTTGATGATCCATTTCAGATCGATCTTCTTTGTTTTTTTCTTTAGTTAAGCTGTGTTGGGAAAAAGAATGATATGGGCACAGATTATATAAACTGCACAGGCGACGGATGTGCATGCATGAGAGTGCGTGTACGTGTGCGTGGGTGGATTTATATACACATAGATATCATCATATCAATGTGTGTGTATGTATATAGATATAGAGAGAGAGAGAGGGCTACAGGACAAGAGGTTTGACAAGACAAACTTTTTGCGGTAATACATATGTCATGGATCTCATGGTGGATATAGAGACGTCTCTTTATTTAATTGTATAGTATATATCAAAATAAATAATGAATAAATAAACATGGGATTAAAGCTATGATGATATATCAGAAAGATTACGAATTGAATTTCAATCAAATCGACAAGACTAGCTTATGGAATGTTCATATTGGATAATCATAAAAAAAAAAGAAAAGATGATACTGTTCTAAACAGTGTAGAGTATGATCTATTTTAACTAATTGAAACTATGGACATTGATAATGCAATCATAGAACTAACTTTTCTTGCTTTGTTAATACGAAAAGATTCTCAATATATATATATTGCTTTCATGACTACGACTTTGTATTCAACTATGGTTCGAAATTTCTTTTTATATAATAACATCGTTATATATGTTGCGAAATTACATTTAAATTGTGGCCACACACCTATTCATTTTCCGTGTGCCATTTTTACAGTTTGGTCATGTCCTTTCTTTTTCATTTATGATTGGAATTTTTTAAGGACAACTATGTTTGGAACCTTTGTCCAACTAAATATAGCATGGGTCTGTACTCTGTGTGTGTGTGTGTATATATATATAATTGGATTTCCTTTTAAATTAAATATCTACGTGATTAATTGTATTTTTATAATAGAACTTTAAAAAATATACCGCATAGTAAAAAATTAGTTTAGGTATGACAAAAATTTTAGAAATAAAGAAAATATTTTAATTGGAGAAAACATTTAAAAAACTTTTTAAATGGTTGAAAATGTACACAAAAACTCTTGTTGAAATGTTTTCAAGCTAAGACTGACATTTCCAATAAAAGAGTACCCAACAGTTGTGACGTCAACTATTTATATTCTAAACATTTTAACGTATAATTCTGAAACTATATATATATATATAACTATTTATAAGCACTATATATATATGTGTGTGTATATATATATATGTATGTTAAAGAATGAATGTAGTATGCAGTGGAATTTATTTAAAAACATCATCCATCACTGTAGAATCGGAAGAAATAATGTGAGAGACACTGTTTGTGTGGTCCCACCAACGTTTTCGTTGCTTTTGTTTTTTCTATAGTCAACTACAGAAGAGCTTTAAGCCCACACACAACTGTGACCAATAACGTTACATGCCATTGCCCCATATATATATATTATATATATACACTGTTTCGATTTATATATACAAAAAAAGTCACATGCAAACACTTTAAACGTGATGATGGAAAGATCTTTTTTACGTCGAGCAATCTGCACATATTTGGTCATTGTATAACAATAGTATATACGTATAAAAATACGGAATCGAGTGGAGGCCACCTTAATTTGGTGTGGACAGAAAAAGGGCAATCATGGACACCGAAAAAGATTTTTTTTTTTTTGAAAAAAAGAGAGAGGGAAGGGAGGAAGGGAGGTGGTGGGTGCAATGTCACATTCACACCTCACATCGATTGGGTGAATGATATTAGATGTAAACGCGACGTTATTAAATGAAGTCCCACAAAAAAATGATGGTAGCATTATTAGCTAGCTGTACCTCACGCGACATCATCACCTGATTTCAATGTGTCACTCACACCCACACACCGACTCTTGATTATCCCTTTGTTTTTTTTATCCCCGTTAATTAATGTATCATATCCATAACCCCCCTTCTTGTCTCTCTTGTTTTTAATTATGCCTTCTTTCCCATTTGTATGCAATATTGCCACCGTTTGTTTCTTCCTCCAACGATTTGTCATCTCTGCTTTTTTATATATATATATTTGTATAACAGTAACGAACATTCCGTTTTTTTTTTTTAAAAAAAAGGAATCATATGCTAGACGCAAGAAAGGAGGTGAAGACGGAAAAATCCACATCAAAACAAAACTGTGTATATCTGTTTCCTCTTTAGAGATGAGATGAGAAGACATCAAATAAATAAGACAGACATAATTGATAAAAGACAAATATGCCCCTCACAAATGTCTGTGAAGCTCTGACTCGGCTGTTCTCTCGCGTCCTGCCTAAAAGTCCCCCGCCTACTCGTATTTGCCCCTCTCTCTCTCTCTCTCTGTAAGACAATACAAGTTCTTTTTAGCTTTGGAAGAAAAGATATCAAAGCTCGTCATGTGTCTCAGGCTGCGATTGTGTGTCTTCGTTAGCCGATTCGTCGGTTTCCTCATCAATGTGGTCGGAGGAAGTCGAGTTTGAGTCGACGGCGCCGCCTTTAAGCTCTTCCTCCTCGGCGGTTGCGTTCTCCGTCTTGGCTGGTTTCTCGATCTTTGGCTTCGGCTTTGGGATCCGATTGACCTTTGCCACCTATTCATGATATATGATTAGATACAAAAGTATAGAAATAAAACCCTGTGAACTGAAGCTTCCTCGCTATCACGATTTGTGTGGATACAATATCACCTTGTCTTGTAGACCGAATACTTTGGCATACACCTCGTCTGAGGTGAACACTGGGTTGCTATACAAAGGGGCCCTGTAGGAATTGTCGCATTTAGGAACAAACACAGTCAGCATCAGAACGTCTTTTTGAGCCAAGAGGAGTGGAAGAAGCAGAAACTCACTTGTGCTGCTCAGCTTCTTTCTCACCCAACCAGCTCTTTACTCTTTCTGCTTCCTTTGAGACCTGAAAAGAAAAAAAAACAACTGTTATTGATAAGAACATAGACATCTTTCATTTTTTTTCCCAATAGACGGTGGAGGAAAAACCACCTCCTCGATTCTTTCTTTTGGAAGCCAAGTTTTGTCTGTTTCCCAACCTTGTATGATCTGTGCAATGTTGACCAGAAAACAATAAATAAATGAAAAAGGCACATTAAGTTACTCGATAGTTTTGTCTTCAACAGACATGAATGAAAAACCGTATATATCTGTCCAAGGAATTCCAATGGATTGGTTTAATGGTGAAAAAAATAGATGCGGTGCCTGAAAAACACCAAGAATAGATTTCCAAAACTCTTAGGTCGCTATGGTACTAACTGCATCTACAACTAGTTGACATTTGCTCTATTTTCTAGCCCCTGAAATACCCCCGCGCAAGGCATGACAAGGATTACAAATTACAATATTCTTTTTTTACATGCTTCTTCTAGCATGTGTTGACCATAAAAAGACTACATCGGGCAGCAGTTGTTCTACAATCTTGAATTCAACCTGAACTGAAAATAGTCCTGTGTCCCGCTGTGCCTAGGAAGGTACCCTAAGTAATCAGCTTCCTAAGATACCTAAGATATCAAACAGATGTTATGTAGTGTACCTCTCGCACTTCAGTTAGGTACTTTCGGGCATATTCAGATGCTACAGGGCGTGCAGTCAGCTCCTCTGACCTGCGCATGTATAGCCAACAAGGCATATCAATATACAGCTAGCTACTACAATTTCTGTGTTTCGCTAAAAAAAGATTTTTTTTTTTTAAGTGAGATCAAGATTCCACCGAAAAGAAAGCAGAGAGCGTACCTGAAGGATATGGGGCTACCGATGGCTTTTAGTGAGTCAAGGCGGTCCTGAAACTCTGTGACATTAGCATCCTCACCATCCATATACAGCCAGTCTTGCACCTGAACCATACACAAACCAAGTGAACGAAATCGTTCAAGCTGCAGAAATTATGTACGCTGAACAGATAAAGACACATACCTCATCAAGCTTCTCGACAAATGACTCGCGTTCTTCTTGGGTAGATATCTTTTCAAACTCTGGTGTTTCAAGCTGTAGGAGGACAATCATCAAGGAGTATAATTAGAAAAGCAAGCAGCCAATCAAGATAACCAAAATACCACTGTTCCAAATATGTGGGAAAATGCCAATAAGGAAATAGCTAATAAGAAAAGGAAGAACGGCTAAGAATGCATCATCAGTCAAGTAAAGTGAAAGGCATGTGAGGAAGCACACCTTCTCTTTAGTAGCATATATATAAGATTCAAGGCTATTTTTTAACTCGGCCGTTCTTCTTCGCTCTGCATCTTTCTTGTCCAAGGCTTCTAATTTTCTTTTAGCTTCAGCAAGAGACTCTTTCGGAAAAGGCATTCCCAGTCCAACAGTCTTCTCAACTACCTAAAAGTAATACATTTGAACGTGATTGGTTAAGAATATTCTAGGAATTCCAGGAATGTAACTAAAGCCAAAGAAAATTATAGTCTGTAAGCTAGAAATACCTTCAGAGGAAGGCGGAATGTCCTCTTTTTCAGTTTTCTTTCTGTGCCAAGGTCAACCACATTTGGTTCTTCTGCAGTTGAATTTGATGCAGTGCTATTTCCAACATCAGCTTGCAAATTTTCTTTACTTTCTTGTGAATTTTCATCAGAAGCAGCTTCAGCTGATGTATTCACCGTTGCTGTGGTTGTCTTATTATCAATGGTCATGTTCTTCTTAGGAACCTCCACCCATTCTGTGATTTCAATAACAGCATCTGCTCGATCCAAACTGAGAATCCCACTTCTACTAAGTGAGAAGTGTAGATTTGCTTTGATAGGGGCTGATAGATTCCGTGACGAATATCTGTCCAAATCAAAAACTTCTATTTGTTACCGCAAGTAATATATTTGAACGCGATTGGTTAAGAGTATTCCAGGAAATGCCAGGAAAGCAACTCAAGCCATTAGAAAATCACAGACTTCAAGCTAGAATATACCTTCAGAGGAACACGGAATGTCCTCTTTTTCAGTTTTCTTTCTGTGCCAAGGTCAACCACATTTGGTTCTTCTGCAGTTGAATTTGATGCAGTGCTATTTCCAACATCAGCTTGCAAATTTTCTTTACTTTCTTGTGAATTTTCATCAGAAGCAGCTTCAGCTGATGTATTCACCGTTGCTGTGGTTGTCTTATTATCAATGGTCATGTTCTTCTTAGGAACCTCCACCCATTCTGTGATTTCAATAACAGCATCTGCTCGATCCAAACTGAGAATCCCACTTCTACTAAGTGAGAAGTGTAGATTTGCTTTGATAGGGGCTGATAGATTCCGTGACGAATATCTGTCCAAATCAAAAACTTCTATTTGTTACCGCATAAAAAAAATTAATACATGGTTCTCTGAAAGTGGCAAGCTAACAGAAGAATAAACTTTGACTTCTTACTTCTCAGTTGTGTCTGCCAAACCAGAAACTGAATACTGTGCAAACACAGGGGAGGTTGTCCCCGGGGGTAAAAGATCCTCGGTCTCATAAGCAAGTGATACATCAAAATCTTTGCTCAGGACAAAGGATCTGAACATCTGCCAGAGAATCAGGGACATACAATAATTACAGGGCAGATATACTCTTACTAAGCTCCAATATTTGAGTGGTCACTGTTGTTATTAGTACCTTGATTGGTAGTTTTTTCATCCGAGGTACGAGCAGCTGCTTGGTACTCTCATCTTTCTGAACATCTTGCCCTTGCAACTCCACCAGAAGACCATAGGGGGAGCCATCAATTATACCTAGTCTACGTTTCATTTTAATTCCATCACTCAAGTTGGCAGCATGTAAAGCCGCACCCAAAACAATAGCCTCATCAGCATCCAGATGTTTGTCCAGCTCTTGCTTTCCGAGAAATTCTTGGAGTTTGCTCTGTCATAATATATATGCATGAGGTGACACAGACTTTTACTGAGATCAGGAAAATAAATCCAAAGATTTTCACAACTTTAGGTGAAAAGCATGCAGAGGTATAATGGCCTAGGATTTACTCATGCAGATCATCCCAATTACTTGACTTACGTCAGATAAAGATAATCAGCCACTACACTTGAATATACCAAATCTTCCATGATAGGAATGACTTAGCAGACATGAACAGAGACAGATACACCTACCTGTAGTTTCGGAACCCTAGTAGCTCCTCCTATTAGTTCCACTGCATATATATCATCAACCTTAAGCTCAGAATATTTGAGCACTTCTCTCAGAGGTGTAAGAGATCTGTCCCACAAATCCTCACAGAGTTCCTCAAATTTCTCACGGGAAATTGTGCTCCTGAAAGAAGATAGAAAATATCACAGCACATCATTTGCATTGCATCGTCTTAACAAATCATGGCATATTTTCGAGCATGTTCCAGAAATGAAGCAGAAAATCCAAGACTAACTCTAGCTCTGACAATGACATTACAGAAAACAGCGAGCTGTATCTCGATCAGCTACATGGTTAACAATCCCACGTGCCAATGAAATCTTGATACGATCCATAGATCCTTTCAACATTTTGCTTGGTCAAGGAAAACTTGGTAACCTTGATATATCAAAGTTATCCTTATCTACAGGAAACAGCACTTTCTACCTGAAGTCACGATCATCATGGAGAGATTCTACAGAAATTGGAGCCATGGAGTTTGCACTCAAAATTTCCTTAGTACGTTTGACTTGTTTCTTTAATTTAGCCATGGCTTTGGGGAACTTTCTCACATCAACTCCATTACCAAGTTGTTTATTAAACTCATCTGCAAAATACTCCACCAAGCGCATCTCCATATTCTGTCCTCCCAGTTCTGAGTCCCATCTGACATCCTTGACCTGCATACATAGTCTTTTATCCATACGTAAAAGAAGCAAAATCATCTGATACCAATTGTAGACGAGGAAACAAAAAACAAAGACAAATATAAACCAAACAATATTTTACAGAAAAAGAAACAGAAACATCAAAAGAATATAAACTTGACAAAACAACCAGCGTATTAAAGAGCATTATGGGAGTCACGGTTAACCTGAAACTGGTTGACAGAAACAGTCTTGCCAAATTCCTTCACATTATATGCTGAGTAATAGACAAGAGCTGCATAGGTACTGCTCGAACCCATATCATAGAATATGACATGCCTTGACCCATTTGAGAAATCCTTGTCAATCCCATACTGTAAAGCAGCGCCAGAATGCTCGTTAATCAGTGTGAGCACGTTAATGCCAGCCAACTGAGCAGCCTGGAGCAAGCCTCTTCTTTCAGCCTGTCCAAAGTATGGCGGAACTGAGATAACCACATCCTTCACCGGGACTTTGGCGTGGAACTCTGCCAGATTCGAGGAGTAACCCAAGATCATAGCCAACAATTCCTCTACCGAATAAATAGTTGAATCATCGTCAACTTTGATACCCACAGCACCTCTCGAATCTTCTACAATGTCAAATGGCAAGTACATCGAATCGAGTTTATCCTTGACATGTTTAAATGATTTCCCCACCATATCCCTCAGTTGGGAATACACTTTATTTGGGTATCGAGCTGTGATTCCTGCAGCTTCTTCACCCAGTAGCCGAGTGCCTGACTGGAATGCCACTAAAGCTGGAGATTTTCTCTTGGACATCTCATTAATGGCTACAGAGATTGGGCTCTGTCCCCGTTTTAGATTGACTACCGCAGCTTTCAGCCATTCTGAACCTAGATCTACGCTCGAAACAGCAGATTCGGACGGGACAGCCAGTAGCCAAAGCAAGGACAAGAACAACGCTAACCTAGACAACATCTTCTCTCTATTTCGACCTCACCCTGAGACGGTAGTGAGACCCCGGTTTCCTCTGCAGAAGGCATAAAAAAAAGCATTACGTCCAAAAACCCCTAGAAACATTTCAAATCCAAACAAAGGAGAAACTACGGTAGATTTTTTTTTTTTTGGTAATAAATCAGACAAAGAAAATCTGTCTGGACTCTGAGAAAGGGCTGATCAGAACTACAGATTCAAAGCGCCGATTTCCGAATAACCGCATACAAAGACACGTAAAGATCAAAGTGATTTTCTAGGCAAACAAACAGGGCATTGGAAGAAAATTCCGATGAGCAAAGAGAAGAGACGCAAGGAGCATACAAGTAAATCTAGGAAGGGTGGAAACGCAATATCTAACTTAAGAGCGAGGGAAGGTCATACCCAGTTGAAGTGCTCCGATCGCGTCCTCCGTCTAACTGATTTCTAGATTCAAATTTTCCGACTGGTTCCCGAGAAACGAAAGACAGGAAAAGGAGAGAGTGTGTATATATACCTGCTAAAGGGAGAAGAGCTGACGTGGAAGCTATTAGAAGAATGGAGCAATGAAAAGAGAGCACGTGTAAGAAATGACACGTGGAGGGATATGAGACGTCTGGCGTCGTTGGTGCTGGTTGCGCTAGTCTCAGATCCTTATAGAACTTTTGAGCAAATGGGCCTCGGAGGGAGAAGAGAATACATATTTCTGATTTTCTGGTACAGTACAGGTAGTATTTTAGAGCCCAAATTTCTGTGTGGGCTTCGTCATTTTAGGCCCATTAACTTTTATGTTGGGGAAAATAAATCAATTTAGTTTCGAGGCTCAGTCAACCTTAGCGGATTTTGGATCTAAATTTTTTTATTCGAAAAAAAATTGAGTTTTGGAATCGGATTCGAATCGGACTTTGGATTCGAGTCAGCTGACCCAAAAACTCGATATTTAAAAAAATAGGAAAAAAGAGAAAAAAAAAATAAGATTTACAAAGAAAATTATGTGGACCGACTCAATCTAACCCAATCCGAATCCGGAATATATAGGATCGGGATTCAGACTTAACTATATAGGTCCAAGAAAATCGGGACGATCCAAACCCGAACCGGAAATATATAGTAGCTTTGCATGTATTCATATTGCCAGGTTCCTCGCATCCCAAACCAAAGTAGTTTATTAGGTATAGGTTATTAGATTTCAGGGTCATAATCATAAAGCGGAGGGTATGCACAAGTCGTGAGTTATATGGGAAATGTGTCTTAATGTTTTTAGGGGAAATGGTTGTGTTATGTCATTACTCACCTCTTATCTTTTTCTTTTTTGGATTTGGGATTTGGCTTGGATAAACGTAGGACTGAAGTGCTCGTGGCGGAAGGAAGGGAGGGGGG